GAGTTAGATTATCACAGTGAGTCGAAATTAAACAACAAGCTGAAAAACCGTTCTTGTATGTTATATTATTAGAAATGTTTTCCTGGTTAAAATCCGCACAGTCAAGGGTTGCAGTTTTTGACACAGTCGCCTTTGGAATATTTTAACACAATATATCGATTAATAGCGCTCTATACCTAATACTTGATTTTATGAAAACCATTAGTTGCAACATATAAGTAATTCGAAATGAAAAATATCAATAAATACATCCGAAAAAGAAATTATTACACTATAAAATAAATATCAGTTCCTATATTTTCTATGTTTTTTCTATCTGTGTGGAAATGATTGCTTCCATTGGAATTCATGATGATGTCTGATGGTACAGATCATTATTTTTAAGAATACGATACCTCTGCTTTATTTTAATTCCAATTTAAAATAATATAACATTAGTTCTAATACTTTCGATTTTCCTAAAATAATATATTTCAAGTAAAGACATATTATTTCATTTAAATATCATATATTTTAATGCATTAAACTACCGATTGAATTAAAATCTTATTATTAATAACTTTAAAAAAATGTACAAGTTTAAATAAATTTAAACTTGTACTTTAAAAAAATTAAAACTATTATGTTATGTGTAATTCGTCGAACACATTTTAAACATGATAGGGTTCAAATTATTTTATTATTATTATATTCATAACCTAACGAAATTTAATTTTAAAATATAATATTTTTTGTTAAATTTTAACTCAGTGGTATTTAAATAAAAAAAAAGAATTCCATGAAAGCTTGTGCAATATTGTCCTTTTTAGTTAAATTCCGAGAAACTTACATAAAATATAATGTTATAGGTATTTTTCTGACATCGCTTAACTTGGTCTAACTCATTCAAGCTACTATATTCTGTAGGTATAGTTAAATATGAAAATATTTTAAAATATATTATATTTTTACAGAGATATGTAATACAAATGAAAATTTTACAGAAATAATTGATAATATTTTTATTGTTTAAGTAGAAAGGTGTTTTGATAACTTTTTATAACTCAATTCTTTTTTTTTTTGCAATATATAGGTATTTCACTGTTTTATTTTATGATTCAAATTTCATTTATTTTATTAAAATAAATTATTACTTTTATGATTGTGTTTGATAGAAAATAATGAATTGTATTTTAGTTATATCATTTTTGAAAATTTACTGAAGTTATTTATAATAACTAGATTGATATTTCCTTTTAAAACGGGCTAATGTGCTCAAAGTGAAATAAAATATTTATATCATTTTAATTGAAATGACATTTGAGTAGCTTGCGTAAGCCTGTACAACAATTGTTTAATTTATAAATTAAAAAGTAGCTTAATAAAGTTTGTTATATCATACTATTATACATAAATGGGACCTTTGTTTACAATAACTTTTCAGTTATTTAAAGAAAATGTATCTGAACGTGAAATTTTCATTTTCAAGAGTCGCTTGTTTAACATTTAATATATTTACGTTAAAAAAATCCATCCAAACGTAGTATGTGACTTGGACTATCCACTAGAGTGATCACTTTGATTATTAGAGTATATCAGATGTATTAGAAATGAATATATATGAATTTTCAATCCTAATATAAATGAATTACCGCAAGAAACAAAAAAAAAAACAATTATTAGCTTAACTATTAAATCGATTATTTGATTAAGTTCAATGTAAAAAAAAATGATAATACATTTAATTACAAATTTCAATTCATTTTTTTTACTTTAACATTAATAAATAATTAAACAATACAATTTTGACTTAAGTTGTTAGGGGTTAAGAAAATAAAATCTGGAATCTTTTGATGATTTAAATGCATTTTGTGGTTATTAATTAAAACGCTTAATATATTAACGATTAATTTCGTAATTTAATTGTACAGACTTCATTATATACTATCAGTTTTATGTTTTAAAATGAAAAAATTACAAATAAATATTAAATTTTAGACAAATAATAACAAATTTGAATTACTACAAACTATACGATATAAGTAATAATAGAAGTAAAAATGTATAACACGAGTTACCATCGAGTAGATTATCGAAATAGATTAACCTAATAACTACCAAAATAAACCAACTGTAAGAAATTAACAAAATAGAGAAATTTTTTTAAAATTACTTAATTTTTTTTATACTTGAATTTTATCCATACGTTATTAGTTATTACATTATAACGTGTTTTGAAGGTAATAAAATAACATAATAGATATATCCATTATGAAAGTCTATAGAAAATATACGTTACATTATCTGATTGAAAAACAAAATAATAAAACCTTGTTAAATAAAATAGCTAAAACCATAAAGACATTTTACAACAAAATGAGCTAATCAAAGTTGATATCATTACCTACTATTACAGATTTGATCGTAGAATTTGAAATCTTATGTGTACTATTCAAAATTCATATTATATATTTTATTGATAATTTATTGTAAGAAAAAAATAAAAAAGATTTTTTTTATGTTGGTGTTACAGTTTAAGTTCGAAAATGGCTAAAGAGCGTAATATTATCTGAATAATGTGCACATTTGCTAAATTCAGACGTAAACCGTGAATAAAAACTATTAAAAAATGGATTATGTATACATTACTCAGCTAAATTAACTATAACCGTCGTTTTATGGCTAATGTAAATTATTATCATATTATTAATAAATTCATATTATATATTTATTTCCATAAAATTAATTACTGTAAGTTAACAATTAAATATTAAAATATACTTGATGAAAGATTATAAGCTTATTTTTATTTGATACAAAATCTATTTTATTACACATTATTAATTTTATTTATTAGACAACGTGTTTTTTGTTATTTATTTAAACAAGGTAAACTTTGATAACATTTAGAATTGCATAAAATGTCAGACGCTGTGCATTTGCATTTATTTGTTTTGTAATTTGATTTACATGCATAATGTTCATAACCATGACCATCTAAAAATGTCATACTTTTAGTTGTTTCTCGAAACTATCTTTTTTATACTCTTTGTCTACTTTAATGAATGGTTCAAGACAAACATCACACTAAAATCTAGTTTAATGTTGTTCTAAAATGTCTTATTTATTACTTAGCTCACAGTGCTAATCTGAGCTTATTTTTTTTTGTCCGTTTGAATTCGCATTTTTAATTTCTAATTTCATTTCAAAATATTTTCTTTAAAACAAATTAATCGAATTCTGGCTTTTTTCTGCAATTAATTTACCAAAACACGAGTAAAAATAGTCTTTTGAATACATTTTATTACATACGCCCACATTTTACTCCAAAAACAATTCAATTTAACTGACGTTATCATCAATCAAATACGATAAATTGCCAGATAAGTGGTAACGATAGACAGTGCCATTGTATTTGTATGATTTTCACGTCATAAAAACAGCACCATAATTAATTTCATATCTGAATTCTTACATTTAATACCGTTAAAAATATAATGTAATACCAGTTTTTGTATATAATTCTTATAAGTTACTTCATCCGTCCATCAATGGCTAATGTACAAAATAGCCGGTTAATATACGAAATTATGATTTTAAATTGATTCTAAACGTTGAGTATTTACTTTATTCAACTAGTATGGATAATATACACTTAAGCCATGTTTCAGACTTTAGTCATAATTCTTATATTTTAGAAATAAAATCCTCACATATATATATTATATATCTATGTGTGTGTGTCTAAGGATAATATTGGTAAAATGAGTTCTCGCCATTCAGTATGTATCTATATGACTATATCAAAACTAATTGTACTTTTAGTAAAAAAAAAAAAAGTTAACTGATTTCTATAAAAATATCTAAGAAAAAAAATTGAAAATAATTAAAATTGTATCAATAATGAAATATTTTTATAATTTATATTACATCTTAATTGTATCAAACGTGAATATACTAAAATAGATTTATTATGCATATTTTGCTTCACTCAAAAACTTAAAAATACGTAGCTACTACCCAATGGTGATATATTTATATTTATGCATCGCCGCTGTATCATACCGAGACAACGTTTGGCTGTCTGAGTGAACAAACAATACAAAGGACAAGCATACTAGAAAATTATATGCGCTCATGTATATAAATCCTATAAAAATGCAAAATATGTTTGTTCGTTCATAATGTACTACGATAACAATCTGTATGTATTTTTGTTTTCTGTCACTAAGAACGATTGTTTAATGTTACTTTATTTCACGAAATAAACTTTAGAATAATAATAGTTATTATTTTTAGTCTTTAAATTTTCAGCACTACATAAAATTACGCTAGGTAGATACCACAGAAGTACCTACTTCAGTCTTCATACAGTAGATATTTGTTTACGCTGATATGGACGTCGACAAAAGCTGACAGTCAAGTCCAAGTTGGAACATATAACAAGTTTAAAATGACAAATAATAATAGTCATTATTATTATATGTTTTAAATTGAATATAGACACTAGGTACATGCAGGCAATTACTGTTAAAATATAATATTGTTAATATTATTTGATATCTAAATGTACGTATATAATATAATATACTATATAGTTATTAGTGTATATTTTATTGTGTTTAATGATTGTATTATAGTTATTTTTTGCTATGATAAACTATTTATTTAATATAAAAATAATTACATAAACTAGTTTCATTAGATTTTATAAAATCAATAGATAATTATATTCACTGGTAAATAACCCAAAAACGAATGGATCATATTTATTATTATTTTTACCTTCAAGTATAATCTATGTATGATATAGATAAATAATTAAATTATGCATCCGTTCAACTGTTTGTGTATCCAACGGTACAGTATCTGGTAGGTAACTTAACAAGACACATGCTATATTGTTTATTATATACATAGATTTGTTAAGATAAATAACTTACATATTATTATTATCATTTTGTTACATATTTCATATTCAATTAGAGAACATTATGGTATTAATAAAAAGTAAAACATATAATATTAAAAATAACTAATATTGTATAATTATTTTGTTACACATTTTTCAATACACATTTGAAAAAAGAACCAAAAAGCAAGTCCACCGTTAATCAACCCATACAACAGAAACTGGAAAAAACAATTAAAATATTAACTCATTACAAAATAAATAATTAATCTTAAGATTATATATTTAATATTTTTGGAGAAACAATTTTAAAGTTAAAATAATATATTCTACGTTATTGTTATTCGCTTTGATGATTAAAATTATAATATCAAAACTGGCGTTCGGAGAAATTTAAAATGTGCTAACTCGTTATTTAATTATGTTTTTTGAATTTTCCATAAGACCTATATAATAAAGATCATTTAAATATAGGTCCATGGAAGTTTGAGGATTGACGTTTTAGATATCGTTAGATAAAATTATGGACTCATCAATCTCAGTCATCAAACAAAATTCCAATTACGCGTTACTAATTTAAAATTATTTCTCATTATTGCATAATAGTAATTACGAATACCTGTACGTTTACTGAAACTGAAATAATAGTACCTTGTACAAACAAATATGTAATGATACTCGACACAACTAATGAAATAAAAAATATGACACCAAAAATAAAAGCAAAACTGTCATGCTTTAAATGTTTGGCTGTTTCGGATCTGGAAAACGTACAAATAAATAAATAAGTTTAAGAAATTATGTTAAATAAACATACGTCAAAAGTTAATTTAATGGTACCTAGCCACAACATTCATTGATTGAAATACAAAACAGTATATAATGTACATTGTGTACACCAAATTTAATGATGTTGTCACGTAACAGACACATAGCGTTATGCAACACAAAAGCGAACCGACAAAAAGGAATAAATTACTTGTGGATTTCCAATCAACTTTCAAAAATCCTATGCAGTATGAAGACAATGCTCCTGAAATAAAATTCAAAAGAAATCAGATTAATATAATTAAAGTCAAAATATTTTCAATTTTGAGTTAATGAAGTTATCGTATGTACGCTGTAAAATTATGGAGCACGAACTATTATTATTAACTATTATTATAGTTCTAATAATTGTTAAATCGTTTTAGTAATAAATCACAAAAACAGATAATTTCCCATTAGAACATCAAAGTGAAAAAGAAAGTCTGAAAATTGTATGCTTAATATACCTAATCTAACCTAACCTAACCTAATCTAACCTTTATACTGTAGAGTGTAGACTGTAGATATACCCGTATAATATAATACAACAATATAGGTACATCAAAAGTTAAAATTATCCCATATATAATATAGCCTGAAAATAATTTTAAAATAAGCTGCAAACATTTTGGCACCAATAATTTATTAAAAAGCTACATTTGCTCGCCAGTAAAACTACAATAATAACCAAAGATTTAATAAAATAATATAAAATGTTAAAAATTTACCAGTTATAAAAGCCAAAGCATCGATTCCACCGTTGTACAGCTTATTGTTAACTGGATCGCGTTTGTTTAAGCCCAAGTAAAGAACGTCATTGTATGTCAACACCTGTAATTCTGCCGGAAAGTCAAATCATATTATAGTTCATATTATAACTCACAGCACGACTTGATGAAAAAAAACACCAATCGAACTTGTGATGATGGACATGTAGTGCCGACTGTAAGTAGAGTTGATGATATCAAATTTTTTCAGATGCATTTTTTTACGATATACTCGTATTTTGAAATTTGAAGTGAGTAACCTACTAATTGTATAGTAGGAGTAATTTTCATTGAGCAGGTTATTAAAAAATAAAAATAAAACGATAATACTTTTTAAAACTATAATAATTATAATCATGATATCCTATCAATGGATGAATTCTTCCTTCAAGACTACAATCATTACCATCTCTATACACTGTTTATTACACTGCAAATTGTATTGTACTGGAAAACCTCCTTAAATACGCGTTCTCGATTTCATACCTCATAAAATTTACTTATTGTACATTGTTAAGTGTACAAATTGTATATTTTCATATTTTAAGTAATAACAAAGAAAGTTAATAATAATAATATGTAGAATAATGTTTTAATAAACGAATAAAAAATGAATATAATAAATAAATAAACTATTGAATAGAAAATTATTTATAGTAATATAAATATATTATAAACCATCCTTAGATGCTGAACGATTTGTGTCCTTTTCTCAGAACCGATTTTTATGAAATTATTTATATTTTTAAATTCAAATTTAACGTGTCCATTAGATCATGGTGGCCTATCCAATGACAAGGAACCTATTAAACGGTAGATTGATTTAACTGATTTTATTTTACACTATCGATATAAAAATAGTAATGAATGACGATTATTAACTATTTATTGTTATAATTTAATTATGTTTAATACAGAACGCAATATTGTAAACTCCAGACATTCTATACACTTTTGTGAGACATAATGTTTACTGATAAAAAGGTATATTATTATATTGTAACAAACGTGTGCAAGTATAATTCCTATTTCGAATGACGTAAAATTTTAAGTTACCTGGAAATAGATTCCGGTGGCGAAGGCAAACCATATGCCGTACTTGAATAAATATGGATTAGTGTACGCATCTCTTAATTCGGCATACAGCTGATCCAATACTACTCGAACAGGTTTTGGAGATTTTTCAACGAAACATGGTCCAAGGTCCTGTGCCAAAGATAAATATTAATTTCATTTTTATATCAATAAGCAAGTAGGTATTAGTCTAATGTCTATCCAAAAGCGGTCGTAAACGGTAACTTAATCACGTCGTGAACAAATAAAAAAGAAAATATAAATTGTTTTTTTTTTTTTTAATTAATAATGACATTACATCAACACTAAAGTTCCAAATTCTTCATTATATATTTTTTGTAGTCTTAACACAAACACGGAAAGAAAATCTCGCTTTTGACGGGCAATTTAATTAATAAATGTCAAAACTACAACATTATAGGATGAGAGCTTTTTGAAAATAATTACTATCATCGACAAGCATTCTTTTGTTTTCTCATAAAGTTTTAATTGACGGATTACTCGTTGTAAATAAACTAAAGAAACGGTGGAAAGTGGCTTTTTTGCCTCTATTTTGATTTTCTTCGGAGAAAACCTTTACATATCCACCATAGGGTATTTTCATAATATCACTTTACGAGTCAACGTTAAAACATAATTCAACAATATTTCGTTGTACCTTTTTAATTTATTTCTGAATTAAAAATATATATATATATATTGAATGATCACAAATTTAAAAAATGTAATAAATCTAAATATTTTTTTAAATATAGTCTGTATTGTATTGTTTATTCAATTGAAGTTATAAATTTGAATTATCTTAAATCACATGGACGCAGAATAGTATCATTTTAAAAAATTTGATTTTTAATAATAAATTCTATTTCAAAAATATTCTTGGTTATTATTTATAATCATAGTTCAAAAAATAAATATTATTTTGAATAAAAAAATAATATAAATAATAAAATATAATTATATTCATTATTTCTAACAAACGCTAAACTTTTATGAAATATAAACATTATATTGTTTGATATTTTATACCAATGTAGTTATGTAAGATGTAGGTATATAGTAATTTAAAACTGACAAACGAAATAATATGTTTAATAAAAGTATATATATAGTAATGTTATCGGCTTACATAAAATATTATAAAATATTTAAAAAAATATCAAGTTTACATAAAGCTAAAAAATAAAATCTTTTTCTTTATTCATGACTGAATAATTGAAGCATTGTTGTTTTGTGTTAACATCTCTTGTGGTACACATATAGTTATATTTTATTGTCCAATTGTATTCATCGATAGGTATTCGTTAAGATGCAATCTTACTCTTTGACTTGTCAGCATTTATGGTTATCTATTGAAAGTTTTATTGTATTTTATTTTGATAAGAAGTAAACTGTTGACAAATTTATGAATAGGGGGAATGAGTTAAACACCCGAAAATTCGCACAAACATTCCAACAATAAAATCGATATATTTGTGCATATTGACCGTTAAAGATTTTGTAACACTATAACATTGTTATTTATTTTATACTTTTATTGATACCTACCTACTGTTAAACACACAATACTGTATTATTTCCTATCATTTTTGGTTTTTGAAAACTATTGCTGTTAATTTCCACTTTTTGTGTGATAACTATTATTTCTGTTAATTGACTACACCTTAAAATTGTATAAACATAAAAAACTTATACCTAATTTAAAATACTACATTTAAAGGTAATATTTTAAGAAGAATTAGATTAGAAAAATAAAAAAATTGAATACCTGTTAATCTTCGAAAATAAAATATTTCACATTTTTATAGAATAATAGAAAAACTATGAAAAATAAAACGACCAACTGCCGAAATATTATTTTAATATTTAATATAAAAATCGGTAATTTATTCCTCTTTATTCATCTCACTCTTATTCTCCACAAGTCATAGTTTAACATAATACATGTTCATGCCAAGTGTTGCTAATGGGTGACTTCTTACCCCCGTATTATCCAGTGTTTTTTTTTCTCTCTGCAAATACGCTTATTGTGCTTTTAGTATAGATTGTGTAACTTCTTATAAAATTAAAAAAAAAAATACTTAATAAAAAAAAACATTATTCCCATTATCTGTTTTTAAGCACACAAGATTATTACTTAAACAAGGGTGGATCCAGGGAGGGGGCACTGGTGGCAAGTGCCACCCCCGTTGGAAAAAAAAATAAAAATTTTAGTATCGAAATTTTTTTTTGTGGGGGGATATATCGCTATATAGTAAAATTTTTCCTATAAAGTGTGCTCCGTCCGTAAATACATGCTGGATCCGCCCTTGTACTTAAACCTTTTATTTATTGAAAATCATGCAATATTATAATTTTACGGCAGCTTCTAGATTTGGAGATTTAAGTTCCTTCTTCTTTATATTAATCGTATATTTCTATTAGAATAATATCAAAATAATTAAATAAATTCAGCTTAAAACTTGTATATTATTATCGTCAGAATTTTCAATCAAACACGTTTGTATGATGCCATCTTACGACATTATAAGAGAATCTGAAGATTTAACTGTAAAGTTTGACGCTAGATCGCGCTCAAAGAACTTAAATACAAATATTATGCTCTTTAACGTGTTTTAAATTTTAAGGTATAGACTTCAGTATTGTTAAAATGAAAAACTACACCGAAAAATTTGATTATTATAAAATATTAATACCTATATTATATGAAAGAATTTTAGTATTTATACATTTATTTGTAATAAAAAAATCTGTATTAAAAGTGTTTAAAAATATATTAATATCTTACTGAATTATAAATAATTACTTTCTGATATTGATTATGGAATGTATTGTAGATGACTTTTGATGTTGCAGTTTTTGGACCTTCGGGATGAAAATAAATACTTGAGTATACTGGTGGAAAAAAAATTGCAACAACAAATGCTACACATGAACCTGAAATACAATTATTCTAAAACTAAAAAATAAAATATTTTAGTCATGGTTAAAATGTTAAATTTCTTACCTGCTAATGAAATATACACAAGTAATCCATACTCAATGTTTAAAAATGAAACTGCGATTTGAGCAAATGTGGACGATAAACATTTACCCAAGAGATTTGAACCTCTAACGATTCCTGTCATCTTTTGATATAGTTTGCGGTCACGGATCTTTGCATATGCGTAAGACATATATGCTAATTCGGATGCTGATGTTAAACCCAAACATACCATACTCAACTAAAAACATAAGATTTATATAAGTATAATTATATTTTTGTTTTAAAGAAACTACTTTTTAAATTTTCAAAAACTATTAACACGAAACTATTTAAAACAAAATACACAATAAACGTTTCATTACATATGATTATTAAACAAAAATAAATTTATCTATACTATTATATTATTATAATTTTTATTATATTTACCTTATATTTAATATTATAACTCTTTGTTGAGTTACAATAATTTACTCTAATTGAAAATGCATTTTAACCTTTACAGCAATGAAACTTACTTTTGATTTTAAGAGTGTTACAGGATCCAAAACTAACAAAAACATCACAATTGAACTAAACGCGTCCAGCATTACAATTGGTTTGTAAAGCACATAGTCTGTGACAATAAACATAATAATTACTAAACTTGTAGTTGCATACGAATTTATTGGATAAATATCTTCAGTCACCTAAAAACATATTCTTAATATTAATAAAATAAAATTTACAATGATTTATTATTGATGCCTGGTTTAATAATTTAACACAAATTAATATTAATAAATAAATAAATAAATATTTATAAAATAAAATATGGTTGACAATGTGTCTTATAGTATAACAGTATCATGTTATAACTTAGAATGTATTTTGGGTCAAACAGTGAACGAATTAACTCCATTTCTATAATTTTCACATTTTTTTTTCTTTTTTAGAATTGGTAATGGAAAAAAAAACAGTTAAATTTGTCAATATTTTTCCTTGAACCCATAAAAATATATAAAATAAAACAAATGGTTGAAAAAAAAATTAATTTAGAATTGTTATTAAAACCTTAAACTATTATAACAAATAGTTATATAAAAAGTATATTCTGTAAAATTTACTGAACTAAAAAATAAATTTATGTATCTACCTATCCACTTAACAATTAGTTTTTCGGAAAATGACTTAAATGTTATGAAAACCGATTTGCTTACTAATATCATTCTGAATTTATTATTCACAGTAATTTTCTATCAGAATATCGTTAATATAATAAGTTGTTTTGTTTTTAAATAATTTCAATTAATAATGTTCCATTGCAATAAAATATTTTGAGTAATGAATTCAATAATTCATTTGATTGGATTATTTGGAAAAGGGAAAATTCCAGAAATTTAACATTTTACAGGAGAGGCAAAACATTTAATTTGGTAATAACGGTCAGATTTTTAAAGGATTTAATGTTTACATCAATATTTTAACAATAGTATCTTTCTTCTAAAAGTATTGAACGATTTTACAAGAATCTATAATGTAATAAAATAAAAAAATAAAAAACGAACATGTTTCCTTTTCCAAATAATCCATTCATTTAATTTTTAAAATCTCTAAATAACATTTAAAAAAGGCAGACAGTTGTTTAAAAAATAAGATGATAAAAGTAGCAAGAAAAGAAAAATTCTTAACTTAAATACTTAAAAAGTCTAGGAAAAATTATCTCACAGATAAGACATTAATACATAGCACTCAACTAAAAACTAAAGGTTCTAATATCGGTCGAGATAAAAAGGTAATAATAGGTCTATGGTAAACTCCGCCAGTTTTTTTTTTTCTTACCTGTGATTATTTTTTACTATGATTTATGTATATTTAATGTGGACAATTATTAATTATTATTATGAAAAATATGATTTTGAATTATTTATTATAATTTTTTATACTATGATTTAAATATTTAATGTGAACGATATGATTTGATATTATATTATACTATAATTTTTTTTTAATAATATATCATATTGATTTTATACTATTATTTGATTTTCTTCACTGGCGGAGTTTACATGAATTCAATTTTACCTAATTTTTTTCAGTGGCGGAGGTTACATTAACCCAATTTTACCTGTTTTTTTTTTTTCTGGCGGAGTTTACAGTAAAAAAAGGTACTTGTGGCGGAGTTTACATGCGCCCAAATAAATTAGATACTTTCCTCTTCAATCATAGATTATTTTATTTGAATTTAATATGTAAAACATTATTAACATATAACAATAATTACTTTATACATGATTTACTAATCGCAAAAGAAAATATTTAGATTTTTAAAAATATTTTTAATAATTAATTTTATCAAAATATAATAGCTAAACTCAAGAAATAATTAATCAGTTTAAAATGTCGTATTTTTCAATAAACTTATACTTTATTTGTTTTAACTTTTGTTACCATATAAAAATGAAAGAGGAAAAAGTATGTCTTAAAACCACAATTACTATTGTATAACAATAATAAAACATAAGTTATATTAAAACTTACTTGTTCAGCAGTAAAATTTACAGCTGGACTGGTTAAATATGATGTATAAAATGAATCCACTGGTCGAAAGTCCCGAAAAGTTGCAAACAAACTTACACACAATGTTATTTTCAGCCACTCTTCCATTTTACCCGATTCTTCAAGTATTTTATTTTGAAAATAATTTTTTCTACTATAATACCTTATATAATAAAGAAAACATGTTATATATTTCTATATCCTATGAAATACAAAAATACTAAGCAGTTTTGATAAGTTATTCGATCAAAAATATCACGGTTGTATATATTTTGAATACGTGTATATAATGTCCTTATGCGATAAATTTAGTATTAAAATAAAATGAACAATAAATAATTTTGTTTTACAGTCTATTATTAAATTTTAAAAAATAAATCGTAAATAAATAAATAAATATAATATAAACTATTTATCGTGTACACAGTTAAGGTTTTAAGTATACATTATATTATTAGGTAAATGCGTGAAATTATGAAAACGAAAATGTGTTCAAATATATTATATTATTATCTATAGTATTGAACAATTAAAATGCTATCATAGTATTACATTTTATAGTTATAACTTGTAATAAAAAAGCAGTGTATTAGCGTAATACTCTGTCACCACACCAATACTGTACTAATTTAATTAAAACAAAACAGCATAGTTAATACCTGATATTCAGCAAAGTATGAAAAGCACTTGATTTTGAAAATTCAAATTAAATTAGAAACCGTTTATCATTTAATACGAAGTATTCTCCTTGCATCGAACACATTAGCTAATTGGTAAATAACGAAAAACAAACAGAAAACCGTTCAAAACTAATGGCCGGTAACAACGAATTACTGTAATGAATCAAATGAAAACTATAATGATAATATGTGATTTCGTTGCCGTACAATGTGCCTTGTGCCGGTAATGCGATCTGGTCAGATGCACTGCTGTTGGTGAACTCTTGATACACGAAGGTCAGCCAATTTAAAATTATGTAATCACCAAACTAAAAAGAGACCAATAAAAAATAAAACATCAACCGTACAAACTGTATACTTTATAGAGAAAGTATACACACACACAACAAACGTGCGTTCCGTTAAAAAAAAAAAAAAATAAAAATGATAGCACAATATATGAAACGTTTTTTATCGACTAATCGAGCTTCATGGTATCATTGTATTCGCGGTACTTATTCATATCAAGTAAAGCCCACCTGTTAATCTTCTAGTTAGATATGTATTATTTAATCGCATATATTATTATTTGTATTATTTGTATTACATACTGTAACAATATTGTAAGTACTAATGCATATTTTGATGGGTATTATAATAAAATTGTCTATAGCTTATGTATCGTGAAGCACACGACAATACGATTTTTATAAAACTAAAATTAATGTTATTTATTCTATCGCGAAAAAGTGTACTCCAATTTTATACTGCAATAGAGTAATCGTACACTAGAGCTTGTGGTTTGAGATACATTTTTTATGAACCTATTGTACTTTCATTTCATATTCTTTAACTTTTTTTAAACATATTAAATCTGAAAATGTATACGTTTTTTGTTTTAAAAAGTTAGAATGTTTTTATCTAATCAAAAATACCTAGGTAATACCTACATTTTTTATTTATTTTATACGCGGTTGAAATACAATATTATAAGTATACAATTTAAAAAATGAATACTGCTAAGAGAAGCTATATTGAATATCTAAACTGATAAACTAGTCCATAGTTTTATTCAAATGCTGTATAAAAAAAAAAAAAACATCGAACAATGACCATAATAAATTCTTAATCTACATCAAACTAAGCCTCTCAATAAAAATATGCGTTGATATAGAAATATAGATAAATATTCAAAATTCACTTAATAGAAAAATAAAACTCTACTGTTACAATTAAGAATAATTTTCTATGCTATTATAAATCTAAAATTTAATATTATTTTTGATTATATATTTAATTACAACTTATGATAATATTATTTCAAAATGAACGTAGAAAAAAAAATGTTTAAAATGTTTATACATATTTCCTACTTATTTATAAAAGTATTTTTATTAAATATAATCAATGAAAATCAACTATTTGATATGATAGTTTAAAACATCTAAAAAAAAAAAAAAAACATGTATTAGTTCTAAAATATACTTTTTTGGAAAATCATTGCAGTCAAAATTAGTTTAATTCTAAAATGTTGAATAATTTTCAAAATTTATATTTTATTATTTAATTTCTTGTATTATATGGTTTAAAACTGAAAGTATACTTAAAAATTATTTTAAATCAACAATAATAAAGTTTCGCTCTACATTATTAATATCTATGATAATAATACTGTATTAATATTTTTTAATAAACGTATTAAAATATAATATACAAAGATTTATATCATATAAATATTATATATTCAATGAAGAAATTATATTTTTTACTTATCAAATACATGATAATTGGAAAAATTTAATGACTATTAATGACTTAAATGTTAGTATAATCAATATTTCATATGTTTTATTTTAATGTAAAATTAAACATGTTTTATAATATTATGTTATTATGATAGAAAATAATCAATTTATTTATTTATAGTGATACATGAACATTTAATATCATAAGTAATGGATAACCCAATTAACCTCAAACTCCACTATAGGTATAATATGGGTCTTGTACTCTTGTGCTTAAGCAACCAAATCTAACAACCAGCTTTATTTATCCTTTTATGATACTAATTGAAAATATTATAATCATTGTCTTTTGTCTAGATTTATACTATCACCCATTGGCCATTGTATCATTATCTAATTTACAAAAGTCAATTTGATGGCATATTATATGCGATAGTTAGCTGGCATAACAAACTTAAGTAACTTCGAAAATCAACGATACTAATAATATGTTGCTTTGCTTAGAAGGATTTCGACAAATAGACATTATTATGAGACTCAAATACATACTAACGTACAAGATTCATTTCTCAGTAATTTTATTGCACTTCTGCATTTGTATTACTATAGATAATAGATATGTTTGGGATGCTTTTAATTTAAAAAATAAAATTAGCCCGATATATTAGTATTTTATTCGTGCCTATCAAATTATTTTTATCCAAAATGAAAAAGTGAAATCATTTTTAAAAGTTAAAATATTTTTAAGTATATTTTTAAACCTAAGTTTACAGTTTATCTGGAATATTCAGGAATTATTAGAATTTCAACGAGTTGTTAAGTTATAATTAGACGAACGACTAAAAGCATCGAAGTTATCAGCTCACATAAAATATACCAATGTGAACGGAACGGTTATCAGATTGTACACCATGATCGAAGAGGGTCGACTTCATTCCACGGTCGAGTCAGCCGGCTTAATACGATGATCGACGTGATGCTGTCCTCAGTATTGTTAGTGTTATTCATGAACGGCTAACCACGGTGTTATTATTTTCTGTTTGTTAATCTAATATTAAGCAAAAATTTTTTAGCACTGTAATATCCACAATGATCCTGACACAAAACCAATGTATTTGCATCTGAGGTATCGTAAAACGAGATGACATTTCCACGAAACGAGTCTTATTTACGTAATACGATTATTAATAATACATATAAGTCATAACTTTCGGACATCCGGGTTGACGAAATGCAGTGATCGTTTCAAAATTGTTTTGTTTAATATTGTTAATCTCGTTATTATGTACTAATCATTAAACGACACACTAAGAAACTGCAACGTGTCTTCGGGCTTAAGTGTACTGCTATCATATTCTTTGTTAACAAAATTAATGTTTTTTCTTTGCTGACTGATATGTTTTCCCTGGGTATTTCATTGTATAATATAAATAATATACATCTCTAAATACAAAAAAAAAAAAAAAAATAATGGATTTAAAAATTTAAAATGTGAAAAAGTAATAACACAACGCCATCTATGAGAAATTATGGTGTAAATAAATGTATACAATAATATGTTCTAACTAATTTTAAAGACAGATAGAGCTATATAATTATATTATAAATATTTTAGCGAAAAAAAAACCGAGAGGAATGCATAATTTATAATTAAAAATTTAATAATGTAGTCATTTAGAAGTATAAATAACCAATCATTTATTTCAAATACTATAAAAATATATGATTTGAAAATAAAAATTATCGTTAAATAAATCCAAAAATATATAAAATTCTGATTCTATTTCTATATTTTTAGTAAAATATATTAATTTTTTAAGTAATAAATAATAATAATAAATTATAATACATATAATTTTACAGTGTCTAGGTACTATGGATCTATTAATACTCTAAGTCAAGTTAATAGATTTAGATTCTAAACTTTAGAGTAAAATTTGCATAAAAACAATATAAATATATACCACTCCCTTCATCAAAATAAATTAATTTCAATTGATAACATAACTATTAAACAAAAAATACATCTTTTGATTGAAAAATTCAAACGAACTCGATGTTTTCGTAAAATATATTAAATATTAGTTATAAGAATTAAATACAATATTTTAATAAAACACTCTAAAGTGTAAGTATTGTGTAGTTACTTAGCTGTGTTAGTTATAGACTGTAGTTAAGCAGTTAGGTAATGCATTTAGAAGTAGCTATAATACGTCATATTTTACGAATAAACAAAACAAAGATTGTAGGTATTTTCTAGTTAGATTATTACTTCCTGCTACTAGCTATACGTTACTAAATGAAATATTATATATTTTTTATATTTCGTAAATGATAATTACACAAATCTAATATTATATAGCAGATTCTGGACGAGTGACGATCGACATTGAAACAGGACCAAGTTTTGGCAAGGCTACATTTAATACACGTGTGAATAACTAATATTGCGTATATTGCTTAACACGAAGAAATTATTTTGAATGTTGATATCTATTAATCGTTATTTGTCGTTACACAAAAAACTATAATGAAAATCAATCCCTCGTGGAAATTATTATTGTAATAAATTATTAAGTCTTAATATGTTAATTGCAATGGTGACGTAAAAATCTCAGGCCCGCCTTTTTTGTCATCAGTACTCCAAAAGTACAAAATGTTTAAATATAAAAATTTATAGTATGTAACAAGTATGTCCGTGGAAAAAAGTTATATTTACATAATATAATGTGGTGCTTATTTGTTAATGGGTTTTAGAAGTATTAAACGACTTGGTATATCACTTTGTTAATCATAAATTCATAATATAGTTGTTCTTGATATTTTAATAAAAGTCAATAGAAATTATTAGTAAAACGTAAACTCTTCACAAACGCTAAAAAAATACTCAGCATTGTTTGAAGGCAGTTGAAAAAATGGTACGGACACCTTCAAACTGTTGCCAAGTAAAACTCTCTCCTTGTGCATCGAGTAATTTATTTTGAAGATATACAGTTTAACCACTCCTTGTCTCAGTTTTGGAAAACGGATTGCACAGTACAACGGTTCTGGTCCGGAGAATTTTTGCTGGCAAAACGTCAAATCCCTGTTAACTTGACAGAATTGCTTTATTTTGCACTCTCTCTTTGTTCGGGTACCCTTATTGTCCTACGGCAATCGCAACCTCCCTACCCTTAAAACTATCACCCGTTCCCTCGTCATCCACTCATCCGTCCGTTCATCCATCCAAAACCTTTACACCCGGTGTCGACAAAAACAAAGGAAATTATTCGGGAAATTATGCTCTCACCGTCTGGTTTTTCCGAATCAGAAAGTCAGAAAAATAGGCATTGTTATTTAACTGTGAAATATTTATTTATTTTCTTATTACACGAGCCAAGTTTGTATATAATGTTTTCGTTTTACAACAAAGATTTATAAACAAGGAAGAACGCTTAAACCATATAAATATAAAATTATTATAATAACGTTCCTTGCGTAACAATTATACGATAATGGATATACCTATTACACTAATCTACTTATACACATTAA